AATTGGTGATACTGTCATCTCTTATCGTTCAAAATCAATTGGAATCAGACTCTTTTGAGAGAAAGGGATGCTTTCTTAGAGAGGAAGGGGAAGCTTGGCAGAGGACTTCAACTTCTCTTGGTATTTTCAAGTGCATAATGATCTTTTTATGGAGGTATCATTCATCATCTTGGAATAATTCTTCATGTCCTTGTCTTGAGAGCTCATCAAGAACATTTGGACTACTTCTACAAGAACAACACTAGCTGTACCATCCAGTAACTATACAACCTGTCTACTTATAGGAATCACCAGCTCTACACTACAACAGTCACCACTCTTCAATTAATCAATTCTTCATCTACTTACTGATTCAGTAGCTCTACAACCTGTCTACTTCACCAGCTCTACACTACAACATTCTTCAATCGTTTCCTCAAGTAATTCTCCAGTTGACCTGCTCTAACAATCAGTTCTTTTATCCTTACAAGAGAAGGAGCTACTGAGTCATTGAACTAAATGGAGCATTGCTCCTGAACTGTTCTTCTCTCTTCTCCTCCTCCTTTTCTATCTTTTCTTTATTCCTCTTTTCTTAATTCCCCTCTTATTTCTAATACTCTAATGCTACCTTTCCTCTTAAATAGTTAGTACTTGTACTCATAATTAATAATAGTACATGTAATTAAATAATATAATTATAATGAATACATGTAATTAACTAATAATAGTACATGTACTTTATTAATTAATTAAATAGTATAGTACATGTACTTCAATATAATTATATTACTGCTTCTTTGCTCTAGCTAGCTCTTCGAGCCTATTGAAGACATCAGCCTTTATAAATAAGAGATAGAGAGATAGAGGGAGAGAGAGAGACAGCTAATAGGTAGAAGATTCAAAGAAGAACAAAGCCTGAAGACAAGAGCATCTAAGAGTGAGAGAGAGAGAGGAGGAGGAGCTGATGAACAGCAGTATAACAAAATCATTTGAGTTGGTTATTGAGAGAGGAGAGGGAGGGAGGGAGTGTGTTTGCAAGATTAACATGTTCACTTGTTTTCTTTATTTGTTTTTAGTAGCTGTATAAAGGTAGTGGGTTTCAAGTCTTTGTGAAGTCTTTGATGTTCTTGTGAAAGTCCAAACCAAATG